CCTCAAAAGACCCCAAGCAAGCCGCAGAAGACCCTTCAAGATCGGATGTTTGACCATTAGGTGTAGGGAAAGTGCTCCAATGGGAGCTGGCGGCTAACTACTGCGCTTCTAGACGCGGGAAAGGGCACACCGCAAGCGCGCTAAGTAGAAATCGGACCAGGGGCTCCGAAGATTTGGGCTGGTTCTTGTGGACGAGGCAGCGGCCCACAAGCAAAACTCTAGCCAACTTGGCTTCCAGGGTTCTTGAGCGGTGCTTGGCGGACGCATGGCCGACGACGACCTCTATGTGGACAATGGTGTGAAGGCCGGCCTAATGGAGGAAGAGGCTATGTTCTTGCGAACGACGACGTGAGGTACTATGGCAACTGAGCGCGTGGGTCGGTTGTTCAAAGAAGAAATGTCAAGACCTCAAAAGATCCCAAACAAGCCGCAGAAGACCCTTCAAGATCGGATGTTTGACCATTAGGTGTAGGGAAAGTGCTCCAATGGGAGCTGGCGGCTAACTACTGCGCTTCTAGACGCGGGAAAGGGCACACCGCAAGCGCGCTAAGTAGAAATCGGACCAGGGGCTCCGAAGATTTGGGCTGGTTCTTGCGGATGAGGCAGCAGCTCTGAGCACTCATAACTCAATGTATTTATATATGTACATACAATATGCGCATATCTATAGTAGCTAGCAACATTGTCGCCGTGTGTGCGTATGCGGTCTGGAGAACGCCAGCAACTCTCACAAGCGATTGACAAGCACCAGGCGCGCCGGCGCCAATGGAGTGGGGGGGTGGAAGTCAATGCTGCAACGCAGACGTTGTTTTTTAAATAGCAGACATTGCGTATGTAACCTTTTTGGGAATTACCTTGACCTTTATAACGCTTGCCTTAAGCCGCATTTGGCGTCCAGGTTGGAGCAGCTTCGCCGCTGCACGCTGCAAAAGAGGTCGATATACTTGGCAAGGCGTGGGGGGTGAAGAACTGTCCCTGTTTGACAAACGGTTTAGCCGAAAACGCCCGTGGCAGGCAAGGTTTAGACCTCAGCTTTTCAATCGCCTTAGTCTACACTGTCTCCCTACTGGCTTCCGTCTTTGGGTGAGGCTGAACTTCAACTTCTACAACAAGACAAAACTTTGCAAGCGCTACTAGTGCAGAGGAAAGAAGGCGGTACAGGGCGCGGTGATATTTGTGAGTTCGCGCTTGCTTTTCTGTGCGTTGTGGGCAGCGATAGGTTCGGGGCAAGCAAGATTGGCGTCAGGTAGAGACTATCAAACGGTGTATTGCTGTTGCCTCACATTGTAATCGGTGGCCCAAACCTGAATTGCTCGATGAGTCATTGCTCTTGCTTGACCTTATAATCTGCAATTTGGCGGCTCAGATTTGAATAGCAGAATAGCAACCTACCCAAGCTTTTGGGAATAGCCCCCAGTCCTTGTTTTGATGTCGGCAGAGGCACGGCGAGCGGCTGCCAAGCTGGACGCGCGCAAGGGTCAAATCTACGACAACCTGAGAGTTGGCTTTGGGCCACCTGTGTGGTGATCCCGTTTGGGAAAAGGATGCCGGTCAACGATGCGACGGCGCAGGCGTGGTCAGAAGACTTGATTTAGTTGAAGAGGTTCCGGAATCATTAAGTTAAGCAAGATTTTCTTCAGCCATTGACCGCTTCCAGGCGATGCGTCGCTGGCCCTACGCAACGAACTCGCTCGACTTTGGCGCGCTGAGCGACGAGATTCTTCGTGTGTGGCTGGCGCGTCAACAAGGCAATTTGGCTTTAATGTGTTAGTTTTTGCAGTCAGGTCACGTTTGCAAGGCCCGCTGTGGTATCACCATGCTTCGATGTGTAACGATCGTTTTGAAATTTTGTTTGCCTACTACACAGCTGTTGGAGGCATTCTGCATCGCAATATCCGTGACTGGCACTTCGGCCGCCGCAAAGTGAAGCGAGTGAGCAACGCTGCAAAGCGGAAACTTAGGCCAAGGCTCCCTCCAAACGTTTGCGATTGTGATGTGTAAGCGCCGGGAAGAATGGAGTCGCCCATCGCGCACCTCTTGGTCAAGATCGTTTTTGATGCAAAAAGATGCGTGTTTGATTGAGCGCGGTTCATCTGTTGGGGCGTGGTTGCACACAATCGGCGCGCAATAGAATTCTCAGACATGCCAAACTGAGGCTATGCGCTGCGCGACAGGTTGTCGAAAGTAAATACAACTGTAGCTCAGGCTCGAGCCTAGTGGCTACAAAAAAGTAATACAAAGGAGACCGTAACCTTCGACAAGTTGTTACCGACTTTGTCCGAATGAAGCATGAGCCCAATTTGCAGCGTTTTTTCTTCACATCAGGCTTCTGGCGAGCCATGTTTGAATGGACGCTTGTTGAAGAGGATTGGCCGCTTTGCCTTGACGCTCAAGACGCTTTGGTGGAGGGTGTCCCGCCACAGTCTTGGGAGGGGTTGGCCCCTCGCCCAATCCTGGACAAGGGTGGGTTCCGCTTCATCGGGCACAGAAAGTTCCTGACTCCCAAGGAGGTCCTTGTTTGGGCAGGGCCACGCGGTGTCCTTCTGGTCCGGGCAATTCCCGTGGGCTTGGCACTGCAATGCACTTTCAAAGTGATGTCTGGTTCTGCGTTGGCCACAGTTACTGAGCATTGGACGGGGGAATCGTGGGCAAGCTTTCCACTGCCAGAGGGGGTTACTGCGATGAGCTTGCATCGACGTGTTCGAGACTTCGGATTGAAGACCGGGCTGTTGACATCGCGCAACCAAGATGTTCATCTGCACGTCGGCAGCAGACGCCTTCGAAAAGATGCCGGGATTCTTTGGGAGAAGTCCTTTGCCACGCGGCCACCAAGAAGGCGTCTCGCGAGCAAAACCAATTTAGCTCAGCTTCGCCTAGAACGGCGAGCGCGGGCAGGATGTGTTTGAAAGCGAAAAGGGATTGGAGTGTGTCTGCGCGTCGTTCATTTTCGGCGCTTGCCATTTTCATAAGGGCGCGTGCGCAGGACGAGTTGCAAGGAAGCTCAACCAACACGTTCGCCGCCTCTTTTTGTTTGCTCGATCAGCGACCTAGCCTATCGTGTAGCCACAGCCATAGTTGAGTCCATCGCTTCTACCATCATGGCAGCAGCTGCAGTTTGGAGCCGGCCGCCGCTTGTGGCCTATGTCCTCCAGTACCTGGATCTCATCACCCAAGCTCAGTGCTGCTCCATTTCAGCTGCCTTTGTTCCACTTCAAGCAATGACAGCAGTGATCGAAGCTAGCAAATTGTCGCACAGGCTGCCATCGGTCGCAACTTTCTTGGAAGCCGCGCGGGTGGTATGGGGCATGGTCACAGGGCCGCTGCTCCATTTGGACGGGCAATCTCTGAAATGCCCAGGTCTGGCCGTCATGACCACTGTGGAAATCTTCTTGCCGCACTGGGATGGCTGTCGCGACTTACCACGCGCGGTGTGGCAGGCTTGGATTGGCCGGCCTGACGAGCCGAAGGATGCCCAATGGACGCAAGAGTTTTTGGGCGCGCGTGGGCTGAGCAGAGATGTGCTCAAAGGTTTCGTGGAGTTGACTTTCGACGACGAAGACATTGAGCTAGCAATGGCGCCGTTGCGGCAAGGCCGTTGGACATACCATTGCTACCCTGGAACGACCGGCCAGGGCCTGATTGGCCTTGACGATGAAGTAGCCGTGCTGGAATTCGAAGTTTTCGGCATTTGTGGTGTTTTGTTCTTTTGGCCGGAGCCATCGTGGCCGTGGTCAAGGGAATCTTCATGGTCTGACGATTGGCATTGGTGAGCTGTGAGGCGAAGGGCGACGTGGGGGAAGACTTATCCAACTTTAGACACTCCCTTGCAATCGCCACAAAGACTGTAGAGTGCATCGTTCAAGCAAAACCATGTGGGAGCGGCCTCTGCTGAGTCACTTAACCTTTAATGTCCCGCTGTCGTTGACTGAAAGATTGCCGGCCGCGTGTGCATGCATTGATCTGCAGCCTGCTTGTTTTCGGAAACATCGACCCTCGTCCAGCGGGCATTGTGTAGATTCTTGGTGGCAGGGTGCTTAACTTTGTCACAATAAGCTTGTCATGACCGATCGTAAGCCACGGTGTCACGGCATACTTCCATGAGTGTTATGTTTCGATTGAATTTAACTTTGAGGCCGGCTGCTATTCGTCATGGCCAAAGGCTCAACGCGTAACCTGTTCATATGCAGTGGCTGCAGCGTTTCTGGTTGGTGATAGCCTTTGGGCTTCCATGCTGAGGAGAAATTTGGATCAGCGATTGTCGTGGGCTTGATAAACACACTCGCTCAAGCATAGCTGTCATGATGCCCGGGCATTGCTGGCCATGCGCTGTAGGTACTTGAGAACGGCTACGCCAACATCTTGGATTTTCCTGAGGTATTGGCTCGGCCCGGGTTTTTAATCTTCTGGCCCGGCGCTTAATCTGAGCACATCTCGGCAACTGCTTGCCTGCCGCGCGACTTTTTGAGGATGATGTCCTTGGCCTCACTGGGGTGGGAATGCGACGTAGTCCCCCGGCAGAGCATGGTGTTGAACGCGTATGAAATACGTGGGCGACTCAGTAGCTGGCACACCCAACCACCTATAGCTATAGCTTCACATCTGCGCGCTTTGTCGCCAAACACAGGCCTATGCCGGAAGCGACGTTTTGGTTGCAGCCTTGGCAACGCGGGTTTTTTAATAGGCCTATCTCGGATCAGTCAAGTGGCTACTTGCCAGGTCATGGTTACACCGTCCTCTTTGCTGGGTTCTCTCTCTACTACGTTGCGAAAGCATCGGCCAGCAGAGACGATTTGCCAAGGTCTGACGCATGCGCTGCGCACTGAAAGAAATAAAATTGCTTAGTTGCTGCCAGGCATGCCTACATTCGAGGCAAAGCTCGGGCAATACAAGAAGCCTTGCGCCCCGTGCGAGAAGCACTTGGGCCTGCAGTGGGTTTGGCTACAGCCTGGATCGCTGGGGAGGCAAGAGGTAGGCATTGGTCGGCGCGTTGGTTCCCATTCTTTCTAACGGTGCGTGCCAGGAGCTGAGCCAAAGCGGCGTCCACTTTTGGAACGATATGGTTTGCTGTGGCTGGGGCGTTCGTGGCCCAAACATTGAGGCAAAGCTTTTCTTGTATTGCTTTTTTCGTTCCGGCTCGCCCTGCGCTGGTCGCGGAGGCCTTGGGCAACGACGCCGGCCAAGACAGCGAAAGCGCTTGATGGATCGCGGGCGCGCAAAGCGACGGTGAAAAAGGCCACGAGTCGGCAACCTGCGGCGTCCTTCGCAATAGTTTTTGCACGCGCTTTGATGTTGCAAGGGCGAAAGTTCTAGCTGGCTGTTTCATGCTGTTTCCATGCGCTGAGCGCTCAGCATGTATTTCACGCTCGGTCTGATCGCGAAGTGCAGGCCTTGTGGTTGGATGCTGAATGCTATTTGCGCGCGTTTGTCCCAGCTGCTCAAGCTTGTACAATAGACCTTGACCCCGTTCTCGGCGTTCGCGCTGAGCAATCACGTCGACATGGCCTCGGCAAGCGAAAGTGAAACCTTGCGCGTTTGCGTGGCAGAAGCTTTGGCCTTATTGGACACGGCATTGCGAAGGCGGAGTTGGAACGATGTGCGCCAAGCCCGGCGGGTGGCCGGGCGGCTGGCAGCCGCGCTGCCTTCGCCGCCAACCTTGGAAGAACGACTGGGCGCTTTGCTCACGTCGACGCGGGCCTCAACAGACGCCGATGGCTGGAGCCCCGGAAGCTCTACAGTGGGCAGCGCTAGCGCCGGGGCATGTGAAGAGGAGATGGAGACAGACAGCGAGCCTGAACCTGAGCCGCGACGGCTTTGCACGCAGAAACCAGAGCTGTTCAGGATTGTTGAAATCGGCGCAAAGCGCCGTGCAATTGCAAACAACTAGAGTTCTTGAGGAAAGCAAGTATGCCAGCGAAAAGCGCGGCCGCGGCGCAGCAATAGTGTTCGATTAGGTTTGGTATTCGCTCATCTGATTCTGCAGATAAATCATATAGACGTATTTCATTGCCTTGAATCATAAGAACTTATTTCATGCGCGCAGCAATCTTTGGGCTGACAGAAACTTCAAACCTAGACTGAGACTTGCACTGCTTTTGCATCATGCCGGCCAAACGTCAAACCTTCTCCGGGCGCGGGCTGCCAGCAGCTAAGAACGCCCGTGCTTTTGAAGGGACTGAAGTGTTGGTTGCCTGTGCGCGCAGCTGGGGCAGTGCCTTCTGGGTCTTCAAAGGCCGGCTTTCCGTCCTTCCGTCCACGGATCAATGTTCAAAGTCATGATCAATAGCTAGAAAGGGCGCGGTGTAGGCGTGATATGCACGGACCTGCCAGGCGCAGAAGCCGGCGTGCCACTGTGGCAGATCCAATTCACTGGCACCGCCCACCGCCTCTTCACCTTTCAGATGCTAGCTGCAGTGCGTGACTGGCTGCAGGACCAGAAAGATGAAGAAATGAAGACTTTGAGCGATCTGCACTCTGCGTGGCATGTCCGCATCATCACAGGGGGACCAGCAGGTGAAACAGATGTGGATGGGGTCGGTGTCTGTGAATGGGCCCCGGCCATGTACTGCGCCGGGCCCAGTCCAAGCCGAGCGCTCGAAGTCATTCACGGCGCAATTGCAATCAGAGCCCGCAAGAAATCTATGCTGTCGCTGCCACGCCTCAAAGTTTGGACTGGGGCAGCGCCAGGCTTTCAAGTTCCAGAAGCATGGGAATTCTGCGGCCCGACAGAAATCTCGCCGCCTAAGCCATTCGGCGTTTTGCCACCTCGCGGCAAACGCCACGTTCTAGCACAGCTTGAGAAGGAAGGCAACCACAACAAAGAAAATGAGGAAAGCGAGGCGCAAGACAAATACATGCTTTCATTTTTCGGTGGCCTTTTCCATTTTAGAGAGCGCTTTGACCAGAAGCAAATCGCTGGCACCTCGGTGGAGAAAGATGATTCGGACGAGAAAACCTACATTCGGATCCTTGACGGCCTTCTTCTGGACGATGAAGACTCAATGAATCGCATCCGGGATGTTTTGGAGAATGTCCTCCATGGCATGCCTGTGTACTTCATCAACAGTGTCGGGCCTGGAGATGAGATGGCCGCTTTTGTTGAATCCTGCGAATCTGTCGCTCAGACAGAAAACCTGTCAGGCTAGGACCTAGGGTTGCGCTTTGCAATCAATTTGCTGAAGCGGCGTGGGGCTTGAAATGTCGATGAGCAGCTGGCTGCGTACAGATCACATTCTGCAGCCAGGAAAGCCATTGGAACAGATTTTAAGCCAACGCCGGCACAGCCAGCCTCGACTCAGCACGTAGGCCAGAGAAAAAGGCTTGTTTACAACAGCGCGTCGAACGCATGTTTTCAAAACCTATTCATCCATGTGGCTTACATTGCGATTCTGATTGGCAACAATAGTGTTCGATTAGGTTTGGTATTCGCTGCTTTCAGGTCTGACAGATTCAGCATGTCTATCATACAAACTTCTTTTTGCTGCTTTGAAAAGAATCCGATGATTTCGCTATGCGCGCAGCAATCCTTGGGCTGACAGACGCTCAAATCTAGACCGATAATTTTGAATCACGCCGGCCAAGCGTCAAACCTTCTCTGGGCGCGGGCTGCCAGCAGCAAAGAACGCTCGGGCTTTTGAAGGAACTGAAGTGTTGGTTGCCTGTGTACGCAGCTGGGGCAGTGCCTTTTGGGTCTTCAAAGGCCGGCTTTCCGTCCACGTACTCAAAATTTTATCAATCGCTAGATATTTACTTTAGAAAGAATGCGGTATAGGCCTGAATTGCACGGACCTGCCAGGCGCAGAAGCTAGCCTGCCACTGTGGCAGATCCAGTTCGCTGGCACCGCCCACCGTCTCTTCACCTTTCAGATGCTAGCTGCAGCGCGTGACTGGCTGCAGGACCAGAAAGATGAAGAAATGAAGACTTTGA